ACAACTGGCTCTTGGTCTATGTACAAGTTCTTCATGAGCACAATTAATGTTCTGGAATTCCCATTCTTTGCAATGTTATCCATAATTTGCTATGATCCATGCAGTCGAATGCCTTTGCATAGTCAATAAAACACAGGTGAACATCTTTCTAGTATTCTCTGCTGTCAACCAAGATTCATCTGACATCAGTAATAATACCCCTCATTCCATGTCCTCTTCTAAATCTGGCTTGAATTTCTGGCAATTCCCTGTGGATGTGCTGCTACAATGTTTTTGAATTATCTTTTGCATAATTTTACTTGCATGTGATATTAATGATAATGTTTGATAATTTCCACATTCTGTTGGATCACCTTTCTTTAGAATGGGCAGAGGTATGGATCTGTTCCAGTAGGCTGGCCAGATAGCTGTCTTCCAAATTTCTTGGCATAGACAAATGAGTGATTCCGGTATATAAATATAATATAAATATGTATATAAATATGTGTATATAAATATACATATGTATTTCCTTGTGTATGCATAAAATGATATCTTGGAAGAACACAGGAGAAACTAGTAATATTGACTGCCTTTGCGGAGGAGAACTGGTTGGTTGGAGAGCTGAGATGAGAAGGAAACTTTACACTCTATATACCCTTATACACCTTTTGAATTTTGAACCACAAGTGTATTACCTATTCAAATATCAAATTTTTAAAAAATAATAAAATATGTAGAACATATGTAAGCTTAGAATCTTACCAATAGATATTACCTCTGTTTCACTACACAAAAAACAATTAACAAGAAAATCTCAATTGTATAAAGCAAAAATTATGCAGGAAACATTTTTTGACTTTAACGTAATAAAGCTAGAAATTAATGTTAAACCTTACTCTTTCCAGCATAGGTTTCTATCCTGCCTAAACATGGACCCTCAAGAGTTCTATCAATCCTATGAATCACAGAGGCCTTCTAACTTTGTCAGGTCTCACACTTTCTTTATTCCCTCACCATAGAACCTATTGGAGAGAGAGGCTAACTGGGAGTCCAGATTCTGACACTCTTCCATGCCCTATTTCAGAAAATCTTGTTAAGTACACTTTTTGAACACAATTACGTGATTGTAAGCTTGATCTATCTCTCTGGATGGAGAGGACCTGGCAGGGAGTCTGGCCCAAGCACCAAAATGTTGCCACAAAATTCATGTTTTCACTGCCTCTTCTTCCCCAGCAGCTCCCCAAATGTGATCAAGTGGTCACCTCCCCACCTTCCCACATCTCATTAATAGGGGAATGGTGAAAGTGTATGGGAAAGAGTAACAAAGATAGCTGGGTTTGAGATTTTAAGTACTCATAGATAAGGGAAGTTCTCTTATTGGATATCTTTACTTCAACATTGTAGACCAAAATGGATGATCATGTGAAGTCACAGATGTCTCATTGGTAACATGAAAGATATGGTGCTAAATCTTTTAGCAGGCAAAAAAGGTTTGAAAAAATTGAATTACTATGAATTGAATTTGCGTGTATGTGTTTCACTGCACAATTTTCTAACATTGCAGGCCTTTGAAGTTAACATATATAAACATCAGAAATATGGTTAATGCTTAACTGATCAAATTTCAAACATTCTGGGTAAATGATCTTTTTTTAAAATGTTATTTTCAAATTTTTACTTTAAAATAATTATAGATTCATGAGAAGTGGGAAAATTAATAGAGTTTTCATGTGTCCATCACCCAGCTTCCCTCAATGTTAACATCTTACATAACTATAGTACATTATTAAAACTAGGAAATTTATATTTGTACAATACAATAAACTAGACTGAGATTGTACTCTAATTTCAAGGGTAGATGATCTCTTATTTAAGAGTTTATATATGTATAAATATATACAATGTGTGTCCAAGTTTTGCTTTTTTGGTCCTCCAATACCTGGTTACACAATTTTTAATGTTAAATTTTCTCTGATAAAGAAAGAATGTGATTTCTGTTTTCCAGATTAGACTTTGACTGATACACAAGAAAATATTAATTTCAATCAAAATCCTAACAGTTTTTCTTTTCAGGAGAGAAAAAAGAAAGAATCTAACAACAACAACAAAAACAAAACAACCAACCAAATAAAAAACCCTCTAAGAAAAAAGCATAGTTGGAGGGAATGTCATTTACCAAATAGTAAAGCCTGTTATGAAATTGCTTCACCAATTTGATCACTGAGAAAAGATAGACCATGTAACAAACAAAAACTAATAAAAGCAGGCATAAATATTTATAGTTATAACATCACAA